GTATTCCAGTATGATTTTTTTTTAAATATATGTCCGGAAGTGCTTAATTGATTAAAAAATTAAGTAGTGTAGTTAATTGAAAATTAAGATCTGAATTTTATTGATAAATTAAGCTGAAGTCATACAAACCATGAAGATATACTTCCAGGAATATGTTTGGATATACAAGCATCATATTTTTGAGTACCACTATTTCCAAGTGATGATTCTATTTTAAAATGATCAGCATGGCCAGTAAGGTTGTTTAGCTTAAAACCTAATTTAACAAATCCTTCATTATCTCTTGCAATCGAATGAAGTATACTAGATGCAAATTTCAGTTCTTGTACAATAAAAGTAACCTATAAATAGATAAAGTAAAAATTAGATAACACATGAGAATAATAAATACACTTTGCTTTAAAAATACCTTATATCCATTAGGAGTTGAATTTGATCCATTACTAACATCTATATTAATACTAATATTTTCAAAACAATTTAAGCTCATTAAATTTTTACGAACAGTTTCAGCATTTTTTATAATCTGCAAAAAAGATAATACATAACTTAAATCAAATATAGAAATGGTAGGATTATCAAACTATTTAGGTATAGCAAAAACAATACAAGTATCAGTATCAATATTTTTAGAAAACTTACATTATTGAAAGAATTTGATGTAAACATTAAGTTAATTGATGATTCAAGAATAAAATCTTTTGTTTTTGAATATCCACGCATGTGCACTTGATCAACTCTTGCCTGTAAATATATTTAGATAATAATGATAAACTAGATAACTAAGTACCAAATAAATATTAATTTGAATTAAATTAAATTAAAACCATAAATTAAAAAATAAAATAAATTATATGAATTAAAAAATACATTAGTACAATTAATTTTTTTTACACATAAATTATAGAAAATTTAAGAATCAATTTAATACATTATTGTATGATAATTGATAATAAATTAAATTAAATAATGTGAAATATAATCATATTGTGGCAATTTTATTATTATTGACTGAATAGTATAATACTAAGTATAGTATAGCCCAAAATAAACCCAAAATAGTTATTTTTTAAATACTAGCCTTGATTTGACATACAGAATTTTGGAAACATGAATGTTTATTTTGATAATATTTTTTGATTCTTACTGGTGGTAAACTAACAGCCAATTGATTACCGGGAAAATTTTAATTTTGTTTTTTATAAAAAGAACTGTTTAGTAATCGTTTTTAGTTTGTTATTACTTCTTATGTATCATAAATTCATAAGATTATATTTGTTAATTATATATTTTATAGTAAATAAACTATTATTTTTTTTAAATAATGAATACATTTTAGAAATTAATATTATATGTAAAACTGTTTAAGTTAGAAATAAACGTATTCAGCAAGCAATATGGGGTACTCGTGATTTATTTTGATCTCCTAAATGAATACCAAAGTATTCGTGGTATATATTTTTAACAAAATTTGTTATGTTATTTCATTATTTCATTATAACATATTAATCACATATATAATAAAATAAACTTGAATCACCCGTATAAAATCTTAGAAATGTGATGTAGTACTCGGATATTTTATAAAAAATAAAATGAACATAACTATAGAAAATAAACATTAATTTTATGAGTTTAAAAATATATTTAATAATTGAACTACTATATAATAAACAATTTAATAAAGATAAGATTAAATAGTTTTAGTAAAGTATACTACATATTGAGTTTATAATAATAATTCGACTTGAGAATATACCACATATTATTGTATGACTATACAGAAAATACAATATTTAAAATTCAAATTGTAGAAAAACTAGACGTGTGAGAAAAAAAACTAATTGCATATTTGAATTCAATCCGTTAAAATCTATAAATATAAGTGCAGAAAGTTAAAATAGCAAAGTAGTCGCAGGACTGTATAATTATAATATATTGAGAAAATTAAATCCGAGACTACTTGTGGATTAATAATTGAGTTATCAATTTTGTCCATGAAATGGTCATAGTTAAATTGTTAATTAAAAAAAAAAAAAACTCACTTCTTTATTTTCCAGCAATTTGAAATCTTGTGGTGACAACTTTTGATCAATATTGAATTCATGGTAAGGCTAGAAATTAAAATGTATTAATATTTTATGGTGATAAAATTGTTAAAAACAAAACATTTATTAATTGGTAGAAGGAATACATTATGTAGGAAACAATATTGTAATGACTAATAATTTTTATTTTATTTTATATAATTAATAGGTATCTATAAATAATAAAATGTGTATTCATAATATGTCATCAGACCTAATTCTAATAGACAGTAGGACTCAAATTGGGTAATAAGAAATATTACAAGTGCAGTTGGTTTTATGAAAGTGCATTCTATAATGTTCATCGTCGTCTTGGTATTTTTATAATTAACATTACGATTAAATACTATACAAAACAAGAAAATTTTAATATTATAAAATATAATTTCACTATCCAAATATTTGTATTTCAAACTTAAAAATCTAAATAAATATATATTATTTGTGTACAATTGTAACAAGTAATAACTAATGATTAATGAGTATAAAAAGAATAAAAATAAATATAATATTGTTATATTTCAGTCATTTTTTATATCTCGTATTATATGTAATTAAAGATGAATTGTTGTTAACTTTTTTTGATTAATAATTAATATTCTAAATAATCAAAAAACAATTTGTTTGTTTGTAGAAAAAACTAGCATTAATAGTATTATAGTCCAAATTAAATTTATAAAAACATTTTTTTCAGTATATTTTGGATAGTGAATAAAGTCTGTTATAGTAGTTAAAAGAAATACAAAATGAGTAATACAAAATCATAGTAAAGTAATTTAAATTTAATAAAATAGAGAAAATTGTTCATTTTGTCTCCTATAAAATAATTGTTTATTATAATATGTGTAATACAGTGAAACTTACATTCAACAAAATATTTCTAAAAACCAAATGTATTTAATTCTACTTAACAAATTTCTCTGATATATTTTTCATTTTTTTGTCCATAAGACTTCAAACATGAAAGTTTCACAGTAACTTAATTTGAATGATTTGTTTAATTACATAAAACAATTTTAAATAAAACTAAAATTAAATACATTATGTTGGCTCTTAAGACTAATTAATCCTATAGAAGTAATAAATAAGAAAAACATTATATAAAAATTAAATTATTTTTACTTACTTTTGCAAATAGATTTCCCATGAATAATTATTATGAATTAATAGTGTAATAGCAATTTGTAATATGGCCTGTAGGTAAGTAGTTAATGAGTTGTTGACAAAAAGTAAGGCATTGAATGTTTATATTTAATTATGAACTGGGACGGATTAATAATGAATTGGAATTGAAAAATAACTAATGTGAAACTATACAGAGTCTTGAAAGGAACTACAGACCTTTTCTAACAAAAGATCGACGAGGAAAACATATAAATCTAAGCCTTTAAATAGTTTAAATTAATAACTATTAACATTTGGTCGAAAGACTCGAAAGATAGGTCAAAAAGCAGGTCAGTGATAAGCGACGAACGGCCAAACACCACCGACCGACTAACTGATAACGCGATTTTATTGATAACGATACTCACTACGGTGATTGCGCTCTAATCTTAATATTGTCATTATAATTTAAAACGACATACCTACTCGTACAAATGGAATTTTTATTTTTCGTGACAACGGACTGTAGAACCGTAGAACTCATGTACTGTATATAGGTAATGCATTCAACGCAATCTGCCTAATAATATTTTTTATCGAATCCAAATATGGTCATCAGTCGTATACGAGTTTTGTTGGCTTTATGATTTATGAAGTCATTAAAACCATTTAGTTGCGGAGTGTTAAAAACTAGGTAATGTCGAGCGGTGGGCACTAAAATATATGCTTAAATGCTTACTCGTACAAAACGCGCATACCTACGCCGTAACTATATATAAAATAAAATTGGCTGTCGAGCTTAAAGAGTTCACTTCAAGGACGAAATTATAATATTATGGCATACTTACAAAATTATACTGGCAATCCGTTTATTGACGTGTATTAATTTATCTATGTTTAGGTACCTACAGACATAGGTAATATTATAATGTCCACAATATCGTAGTTTAGTCATTTTTATAACCACTATTTTTATACTTGCGTAGGAAGGTACCTACCCGGTACTCGCTCAGTATAACATGATCGTAAAACTATATGTTTATACTTTATTATTAATAATTCATTTTTTTCTTTTTTGAACTATAATAATTATAATTGTTCAATATTATTTATATATTTTTTTAAATGTTTATTCATTACTAAGTACCTATAGGTATTTACCAACCTTTATCTTAAAAATGTTAACTGTTACAGCATAAGTCGAAATAAATTACTTTAATGAGAACTATTACTGATATGTATACCTATTCTTTTCAAATTTGATAATAACAGTTAATAATAATAATCCTATAATATATAATATTTGTATCATTATCTTATAATGAAAATATTAAGACTTGAGTGTATTTATGTTTAACACTATTATAAAATAGTTCCAAAGATTTGAAAATTCAAATATTAACATAATATTATACGCCTAATATTTTATAATATAGTTACCTACTTTACTTAATGTAATATGTCAATCAATGTTAAATAAATTCAAAAGATTATAATTTATAGTATGATAAATTATTATAAAATATAAATATTTTTTTATTAGTGTGCCTACATTATATTAGTTGTTTAGTTTAGCTTATTAATACCTAGGTGCGAGTTATAGCAACTATACTGTCTATACTTGTTTAATTCAACAATGATCAGTAAGAACAATGTATCGTAAATCAAAATACATTATTATTTATTTTACGTAAGAATAATATTATGTCATTCTACTCGTTCTTCATTCGGTTAGGTTAGCCGTTGAAATGAACGTCAATAAAACTTTGCTGTTACGCACGTGTTCATTTTCCATTAGGAGGAATAGTTATGAGTGCGATCACCATGGTCTACGAGCTAATGATCACGTGCGTATTTTTCGCAGACGTCGGTACGATGCCCGTCGATCGTCTAGACCAATTAATGAATTTCACACCCGCAAGCTCGTTAGGTTACAATCCGACCGTAGTCAACCATCCGTTCAACTGGGATATTTTGGAGAAGATCGACGTGAAGAAATTACTGGAGATGCTAAAAATACTCAGCGAGGAAAAATCTGCAGAAGTGTTGGTGAGTGATCTAAATAGGTACTCTTGCCGGCTAATAAATAAGATAATAATAATTGTAAACTTATAAATAAATCGAGTAAAACGTTTTAAATTCTATGATAAATGTACCTATTGGTTTTATAATGATTTTTTTTTTTTTTACAAATATAGAAGGTGCATACAAATTTTGTTCTCATACCACAATTAAACAATATTAAAAATATTACAATATTTTTTATAAGCGTTAAACATTTTACGTAATTTCGTAATTTTTCAAAATCATGAAAATTTGTAAATTCATTTGTTCCTAAATCTTCATTAAATGTTTTATTTTAACAATTTAAGCTTGATAATGTAATATAAGATTTCTCATTGGTTTTTTCTAAATTTAAAAATAAATTTTAATGTCATTGTATAAGTATAATTAATCGTATGTTTATAGTAATGCTATTTAGCCTAAAATGATTTGTTTTATTTTATTGTTGTAAAAAAATATTCCACCATTAACACTTAGTAACCAGAGGTTTTGTCAATTGTATAAATTGTTTTATTATGTTATTGTATTATTTTTTAGAAACATACAGTGAAGTCATACGGATTTTCCGCTGTAGAAAATTTCAATAATTATTTTTACTTTTACGTTTAAATTATCAAACGAAATGATAAATAAATAAATAACAAAAGAAATAGGTACTATTCACTATAAAATTAAATTAAATTAAATTTTGATTAACAATTTCCAAATTCTTTTAGAGTTGAAAATGTATTAAATGTACAGTTTTTATAGATGAGACTTGAAAATTTAATATACCTACAAAGTTCTTCATAAAAAATAGTACATAGTGAAATCGAAAAAATATATTAGCATAATATTATTTTTGTGGAAACATAAGTTTTACGTACAATGTTTTATTTTATATACACTGATCCGTGCTATAACAATATAACAATCGTTAGGTTATGAAACAAATTTTGGTACATACTAGTTATGTTTTTAAACCAACTAATAAAAATATGTAAATACATACAATTGTCAATTGTGGCCTTATTCATCACATTAATCCACCCAATACCTATCGTATAGTAAAGCAATTACTTTTTTTTAAATTTTAAAATTAAAACAAAAATTTACTCCATAATTCATGAATAATAAATAATTATTATATTGTAGTTACGTGAAGAAATTTAAATAATTAATAATATTTTTACCAAACGACTTGTTATTAATTATTTGTTTACTGTTTACCTATATTTGATATTCTCGAAAACCATTTTACGTAAAAAATTGATTGTTTTCCATGAATTTATAAAAAAGTATCAATGCATCTATTGACAATTTTTATGAGTATACTCTTAATTAATTTATAAATTGATTGTACTTCAATTGTATTTTTTATAATATTTAGGAAACAACAAGTTTACCGTCTACTATAGTGAACACGGTACACGAATTAGACTATTTGAAAGACAAAGCCGACGAAGATTTATCGAAAAGTCAAGTTACAGGACTGGTGTTTTTGAACACGGCTTATGCCAAAGTTTCGGATCACATAAAATCGGTTCACGAAACCATTCAAAAGAACATCGACGTTTTGATGAAGCTTAATATTTTGAAAGGAATGCTGATGGAAGATAATATACGTTCGAAAGGATTGACACCGTGGATTAAATACATGTCCAAATACAAAAATATTGATAACAGTTATTATTAAATATGTACCTCGTAGTATCGATACATGACCAATAAACAATAATTTTACCAACAAATATAATTCAGAATCATTTAGTTTGCGTTTCTGATAAGAAACTAAAATGAGTTGTTCATTTAAAACTTCAATAATTTATAAAAGGTACCTACCTAGATAATGAGCGAGAGCACCTATGTATTATGTTGGGTTGATATAAAATAACAACAGTCGTCAAGTACTCAAGTATCAATTGTGTATCTATAATATTACTATAATAGATTTATAACTCCACTTTGCCTGGGAAATAACGAACAAATATAAAATACGGTACTACTTACGTATGTCGATGTACCATGTACCTTGGTTTTAGTGTATCGTCAGTTCATGGTAAAATCGACGTCAGTGTACCTCACTTTTTGTAAACCAATTCGGCAGGTTTTATAAAAAATTTCTGCGTTTCTAAGGAACTAGTTTTCTCTTGCGATGACAGAGATCTTTTTTTGGTCATCCCTTTTCTTTGCAGTCGGCGTACAAGAAAATCACTCGTTTTGCGTTGTACCATTACAAATTACAAATACGTATCGATTTGTTAATACGTGAACTTACAATTACAGGTTGCTTCTTTCGTCAGTGACGAAGATTTTGATAAGGATTTCGTAATTTCCACGCAACAGTCTAGTAAGTAGTTGTTATCTATTAATCTATTGTATCTAGGTTTGTTTTTTACAATATTGTATGAGCTTATCATTACAAATATATAAACAAAAACTATTCGATTTTTATGAACAAAAACCAAATTTATTTGTAGTAAGTATCAACCTATAGGGAATGAAATACTAAGTGTCGATAAACATTTCACGAGTCTTAAGGAATGTGAGTGCCAACTTTGATACAAAAATAGTTCAGTAATCAGTAGGTAGTTAGAATATTTTCTTATAAAGGCACATTGATTTTTATTTTTAATATAGGTACATATGTAGAAATTTATTAATTTTATTACAATTTACTTTTAATCACCTATTAATAAAATAGTTAAAGAAAAATTGGTGACATCAAATGAAGAATTGTAACATTTAGATGTTTAATTGTTATTATACAACAAACTAATATAATAATCATAAAACTTTAAGCTACAGAAAATATTTACAAATTAGTTATGAAACATAATATCAATTATTGTGTAATGGCTCTAATTTTTTTTCTAATATTACATGATATATTAAAAGTAAAGAATAAAAATAATTTTCAAAAAATCAAAATTCATAAAAACATTTATGCTGCTAAATTTATCATATGTTAAGAATACAATGTTGGTTACTTTAAATTAAACTTCCTTAGTAACTACAGATATTTCTCAATATGAATACTAATAAACATTATATGAAAGCATAAACCAATTAATGTTTCTATAAAATTAAGATTAAAAAATGACAAATCATTGTTAGATTCATTTAAAAATAGTTACTAAATGATAACAGAAAAATGCTCTTATATTCTAATTTTTATTTTCTATAATATACTTGTATATCTTAATATACTCAATCATAAATAATTATATAACCAGAAAAATAAAAAATAAATTAAAAATTGAATACATTTTTTTTTTGTATTAATTAATAACTATGAATGCTTATGATTAATGTAGTGGTTCTCAATCTTTTTAGGACCGCAACCAAAATTTTCTTCCAAAAATCTATCGCGACCCCCATTGTTTTACATTTACAGAATCAAAAAAGTAATTTTAAAAATTAAATTTTTTATTACTTATTTACTACTTTATAATAATAATAATTGGAATAATATACTTATAATAATAATAATTTTAATAATATACTTCTAATAATAATAAAATACTTAATTAATAATTAGGCGTATGCGATGAATGTGCTTGTTTCCTGCTATTGTTGATGACAGCACCAACATTGATGATGTCAATTTTAGATACTTTCAAACGCAAGGAGTGCGATAATTGGAGCTTGTTTCTGTGTTTGTTTTTGATGCCCACCATTGCCAAAAGTTAGGTTACTTTATACTTCTATTATAGTTCTATAGTCTATACTCTATAGTTCTATACAATTTAAAAATACATACATTTCTTACAATTTGTATAATTAAAATAACTTCTCGCGACCCCCAAAAATTCGCGACCCACAGTTTAAGAAACGCTGGATTAATGAATAACTAATCTAAGGTTTGTTAATTTAACATATAAACAAGGAATTAAAACAAATATTTATAAGAATTATATACATTAGTACCTAAATAAAAAGTTATAAAATAATTATGGTTTTAAAATTAATTTACGATATTTTTGTATTATTATCTAAACTTAATTAAAAATATTTTGTGTGCACATAATTTACATTTTTTTTATAAATTTATTATTTCGTGTACTCCATCGCAGAGAAATAAGTATCAAAATTATCATCCAAAAATCTGAAAAACACAATCAATTTTTTATGATTTTAATGTACAATATTTACTATTATAATTATGTATTGAGAGAAGGTTGTGTTGACTGTATTACTAACTAAATACTAATAACTAGGGCTGGGATTTTGATGCAAAGGCATCTTTTTTTCTGGTGTTTCGATTATTTTTTCCATCTTTTTGCATTTTTTGACTAAATCAACCTTAAATGCATTTTAAGAGCATTTTTTTTTAAACAATTTTAGGTCATTTTTTATAATTTGTTTATAGAATGAACAAAAATTGTTGTGATTAATAAGAGACTTTTGACAAACTGTCCACGGTACAAATAATAAATTATATAGCATGATAACAAATATTTTATCATGGATCTTTCTGTTAATGATTAAGAAAAAACAGAAAATTCAACTAAACAAGTAACAAAGTTACTTGAACAAAAAAATTCATTTCATTAGTTTATTTTTAAATTTTTATAATATAATGAATACATTTAAATGAATTTTTAAAGTGTATTTTTTAGTTTTTTGTCATTTTTATGTTTTTTTAAAGAGAATTTTTGAGATTTTTTAGTGCATTAAATTCACAGCCCTACTAATAAGATTGTAATTTTACATTAAGAAGAATCTACTTTATTTAGTTATTTTTACTATTAAAGTAAATTGTCTTATTGTCAAATTGAACAGGTTAATTTCCATGAACGCTATTTGGGTAATATCTATTGGTCACTGGTTGTCATAAACACATTTACAAGTAAATGTGAATATTTTCCATTAAATTGAACTAATAATAAGTATTTGTTAGGCTATCAAAATTTTGCATTAAGTACATTAAATCTTATACACTTGAAAATGTATCAAGTATTATTAAACAGTAGGTAAAAAAATAAATATTTTTATTACTTTGTAATAGTATTGAAAATATACTGCGATTCTGTAGATCAGTATTGCATTAATTGATATTTTAGATTTAAAGCAAGTTATTGGCATTTTAAAATATACTTTGCTTTAATACTAAAAATAATAGATTCTTAATGCAAAATTTGATATGTGTGTGTTAGTAAAACAGAGACTCTAGACGCGATATCCTCTTAATCTTTTGATAAATTTAAAGAATAAATGAGCAATGTTGCATCATTTATATTGGCATACCAAGTTTTATTTATTTAATGTTTAATGATCTAGAATTTAAGGGATCTCAACAATATTTTTAGATTGAACAACTTATTAAATATATATTAAAACCAAAGCAATAGGTTTTTACTTATATATATTAGAACTAAATTTAAGCTGCTAATAATATGAAAACAATTTAAACGTATATTTAAAAAATATTTTGTTCAGAAAAGGACAACTTTGCTAAAAATTTTATCAATATAATAATCTCAGAGCTCCTACAATCATTTAAAGTTAATATAAAAATATATAATTGAAAATAAAACTTAGATAAGATTTCACTAACAATGGTAATTTTAGTATAGAAAACAAAAATTACAAGGAGCTATGTCAGGAGAGTATATGACTTAAAAGAAATGAACAATGCTATGTTTGGCCAAGAAAGTTTAAATAAAGTGTAGAGCTGGTATGTCGATGTAATGAACTTGATAAGATATTGTGATCATAAGTTAGGTAAATCTTTTATAATGTACGAAATCTCAAATTCAATAAAACAAATTCTTATGTTTAATAATGAAGGTATCATTCTATTTTTTAGAACCAAAATGTTACTAACATTAAATTTTGTTTAGTTTATAAAGAATTGTTATTTTTTAACTAATTTCATATTTTTTGTATGCAAGTATAATTTTTTTTTCTAAGTGGAGTAATATATTTTTGTTGTTTTACTTTACTTTTTCTAGTTTTTTGAATGTCATAATAAATAATTTTTATATTACTTGCTTAAATTAAAAAAATCTTAAAATAATAACTTACTGTAACATTTTATTAAAATATTGAACAATGAATTCTATTTCGCATTCAGGTTCCCATTTGTTTTTTAATAAAAGAAACGGAAATTTCACTGAAAAATAAATATACATATATAAATATTAATATAATATATAGTGAAATATTTTTATTAATTTTATTCAATATTACTTAAGATTAAGTTTCGGATAGTAAAGATATTTATTTACATTTTAATAAATAATGTTTTCCTTCCCAGACAAAGAATGTACTTATCATGGCTAAATACTTAGGTATGTTAGCAACTCTGTGATACGCATGTCATGATGTCAACCAGCAGGAACTTTTATCACAGTTGTAACTAGTTTAAAGATTTGGCCAATAAAAATCCTCACCGGCTGACGTCATATTACCATATAATAAATTAAGATTTGTTTATTATTCTATGAATGCGCTTTTTAGAACGGATTTTAGTATTATTGCTGACATACTTGAGTATTTAGCCATGGTACTAATATTATTTGCAATTTATGTTAAATTTGTTAAATAGAACCAATATTTAAGTTACTTTATACTAAATCATAATATCATAGGTTTAAGTAACATTTGTCAAATGGATTACTTACAGTTTTGGGTAAAAGTTATTTTACTCTTTATTTTTGAAAAGTAATAAAATTATGTTATTTGTTATATTAAGTAACACTACTTAACATTTAAAAAGTAGGACATAACAAATAATGTTGCTTTTCTTTTATTATTTATTGGTAAAAGTTAACCATTTTCTATACTCTATTAGTTACTACAATCAAAGATTTATAAACATATTAGACAATTAATTATAAGTAATTGACTGGTGGTCTAAATGAAAAATTATAAACAATATTAGAAAGGAATTAGTAATTATAAAGATATTAGAAAATTCTGTAGAAATAAATAAAGATGAATTTACACTGTGTTGTGCTGTCTTTTTGTATGTATACAGACTATACCAGAAGTATTCAAACTTCTTTACTTCATGGCACCTTTGTGTTTTGTATTTTGATAGCTCCCAAATTAGTAATGGAAAAAAAAAGTGGTTATATTATAAATGTAATTTATTAATAAATAGGTAATAGAAAAAATTTAATTAAATATTTTATGTCCAATAAATACAAATTAGTAAAAAAATAAATTAATATTTAGTTAGATACACACTGATAATTTAACGAAGATATCTGGCAGATACAATACTGTTGATAATAATGACTTGCTCCCTTCTCCAACTATTGTAACATACAGTTTGAATACCTTTGGACTCTATACAGTTAAATTGTTATTTAATATGTAACTAGGTAACCAATCAAACTATCTGATACAGTATAAGGGCTTTGTTATCGTAAAAATACTCATAATATATTAATGAAACAATATAATTCTAGTTTTTTTTTTTTAATCTATAAAATGTATTATGACTAAAAAATAATTCTTAGAATTTTGGTTTAAAAAAACTAAAATTATTATTAAATATTACATAATTTAACTTATCCTGCCCAAGTGGCCAGAGAGTACAAGATCTAACTAAGATATTGTTAATGAATACAATTTAATTTAGATATTAAGAACAATGTATTTTAGTTAACTACATTATTGAAGATAATAATTTACAATAAGGAGTTTTAAAGGGATATTGAGGATAGCATTTTGTTTAAGTTACTTTGTAAAATGTAAATTTTGTATACCTAACAATCAGTGGATTACAAAAATTTATTTTGCTTAATAATTTGAGACAAACTACTTTATTGATTAATGATTTGAAGAGAAATAGAGTATTATTATAATGTTGTCGGGTTGATAATAATAATACACTAAAACTCTTTTTATCAAAAAGAATTGGTCGACCTGAAAAATTATTGGGTGCACTTTTCAGCAGTGGCGTATTTTCAATTTTTTTCTGGGGGGGGGGGGTCCAATAATTCCAACATAATATAGATAGGTAGGTACTGATATAAAAAAATAGTTTTTAATAGATTATAAGAATAAAAAAATAGATTTTTTATTATATTTTGTAATTTTAAAGTATAAAATCTAAGCGTCTTTTTTTTTTACTAAGTTCATCTAAAATGTCTTTTGGTAAGAGAGAATCTTTTCTATAAATGGACATCATAGCTAATCCATTAAGTCTATTCTAGAAAAAAAAAAACATAAATCTTACACAAATAAAAAAATAATATTTTACTGAATTAAATATTAACACTTACTTCAGAAATAGTATTACGTAAGTACGTTTTTATTAACTTTAATTTCGAAAATGTTCTTTCATTTGACGCAGTCGATACAGGGAGTGTTGCTAGAATTTGAAGCAAATTGAATATACCAGGATACATGTCTTTATTGCATATATTCAATGCATCAATTGCATTATTTGGCTTGTCGCTCATGTTACTTAATTTTCTTTGCCATAACTTGAACTCTCCAAGTACAACTGATGTAGGTGAATTGAATTCTTCTTTGTATGTATCAATTAATTTTATAAAATTATCTTCACTTCCTTTTGTGTCAAAAAGTGATTGAAAGCCATTTAAAATAGTTTTATGGTCAATAAATCTAGTTTTGAGCTGATTAATAAATGAGTCAATATATGGAATAAATATGGATATGCGATAGTACTTTTCGGGGTCGTCAGTTTTAATATTCATTCTATTTTTTTGAACATTAGATATTCTTGGTATCTTTAAAGGTGATTCAAATTTGTTGGCAATATTTTTTGCTTTTATAAAAATTTCATGAAACTCACTATCAGCGTTTTCCCTAAATGCATTTAGTTCGTCCGATGTATCTTGAGCCAAACTCATGGCCATCTTCAGATCAATATTGATCTTTTGAAATTGTTTCGACAGTGGTAGCCCAAATCCAAATACTTTTGATGTTACATGCAATGCTATAATAAATTCTGATTGTAAAATCGAATTTCTTAAACTTTGTGCCTTATGAGAGGTGTCAGATGTATCATTCCATTCAGAAATTATATCAAGAGCTTCTACAACGCTTTCGAATAGTTCCAAAAAATCATTTATTGAATGATATCTCTCTATCCACCGAGTTTCACAACTTCTTTTTAATGATCTTTTTGATGTGTTATCAAAAACACATTTTCCGATTGTTCAATAGCTAGTGAAAGCACAGCTTTACGTTTTGGAAATATAAAAAAATCCCGAAGTTTTCCAACAATTCCTAAACAATTTCGTATACTTTGAATACCACATGATGAAGAGACAGCAGGGTTGAGAGAATGGGCAGAACAATGAATATAAACGGCTAGTGGATGAGCTTGTTTTATATGATATTGAACACCATTATATTTACCCGACATTGCAGCTGCTCCATCAAAACCTTGCCCACGTAGATACTGTGTTTCGATTCCAAAATGTTTTAAGTTGTCCAGTATTAAGGTAGCTAATCCTTTACCAGTCAAATCAGCTGTCGGAACAAACTGTAAAAAATCTTCATGCAATGTACATGTTTCACGATTTACATAGCGCGCACAAATGGAAACTTGTTCAATTCCAGCTATGTAAGCCGTTTCGTCCACAAGAACAGTAAAGCATTTTGCTTTATTTACTCTATTAACAATCTTAGAAAGTAAAACAGAATTACAAGCATCAATTATGGCATTTTGACTAGTGGGACTAATGTATTTAATACGACCTGGACTTTCAAGGAATTTTTTTAAATTGGCATCACCAAGTGCTCGATACTTTAAAATATTACGAAAATTTCCATCATTTTCTCTGGGTTCCGAATTTTCTACTTCAATTTTACCAGAATCACGATGGCCTATAAAAGTATAACTTCTATTATTGGAATAATATTTTTTCTATTTTCCATTACTTGTTTTGCATGACTAGAATCCAATTGGTTTTCAATAAATAATGACTGATTTTTTTTTATATTAAGGTAATTATCAGTGTCTGATAAACATTTTAAATGGTATTGTAAACTGGAATGGTTTCTAAAAGTTTCAGTTGCGTGTTTCCAATTACGAAATGGTTTTTTGACTAAAGCACCAAGTGGTTGGGAATTGATTCCTGCTTCGTTATTAGCAAATGCAACACAAAATTTACAAAACGCTCCATCAAACTTTAAGGAATATGCTAGTCAAGTAAATTTAGACAACCATGAAAATTGAAATTTTAAATTTTTTTTACAACTCACAGTTACTGGAAATTGAAAATTGTTTTCGGGTTTCCAGATTTGCTGAAGAATTTCTTCAATTTCGTGTGGCTTCAACAAACGATTCATATACATGCCTATATCATACATATTAATATTCTCATCTACTCTTTTATCAGGAAATGTATTTGATTCATCAATATTGGGCGATAAAGAACGTTTTTTTGTTGTATGTGGTTCAAGAATTTGTAATGTTGGAGATTGTACTGTTTGATCTGATGGACACGCGACTGGTGAAATTATAAATGATTTCAATGAACTTTGTTTTATTTTTTTATTGGAAGACATATTTATTCCAATTCCAATTACCAAACAATAAATAGATGCAAATATACAGATATAAAAAAAATAAATTTGATAGTATTTATTAAATAATTATTAAATGTTAGGTTTTGTCAAATCTGTATTCACACCTATCACAAATGAGAGACCCTTGTATTTAAAAATAAATAGGTATTCTATATTAACTAATTTTAAACAAAAGGTTATTAAAAAAAAAATCATTGTATTCGACGATTTGCAAGACGATTATATGCAATACCTATGCATTTTATATCAGAGACATTTATGAACCGATACACATCACAGAGACACAGGGTACAGATAGATTTTTAAAGAAAAAATAATATGATTTTGTATATAAAAGTTCAGTATATAATATAGGTTAAACGAATATTGAAGTATGCCTCGTAACTCCGATAGTCATACCTATATCAATAATTATTCTCAGTACACGTTGACAATTAATATTATTTCGATAGCAGTTTAATAATATGTTGTTAACTTCGTGTTAAAACGTAAAAATAGGTTTAAATTATAGAAATATGACATTATGACAACAGTCGTCCATATCACTCTGCTTATCTCTGGACAGAAAATAAATATTACGTAGGTAAACATGGTTCTAAATGAATACTAATTGTCGACCAGTTGACTCCAAAAGTTACATTAAAGTTTTATGTTATTATTAAAAATAATAAATTCCTTACGACTCACATCACATCAATGAGCTATTATTATTATTTACTAATTTATTATATATTTAATTGGTACTTACGTAATAGATCTAATGTATTTTATTGAAAAAATGTAATGCAGTTCGCACTCGTAGCCGACGCCGTCGTTCAGTAACGAAATACAAACATGAAGTAAATGGTTCTACGACAATTTCTTTGTTTAGTTGTTTACAAAGCAAAAATTCATATAGATTAATAATAGATATCTATATTGTCCTATAAAAATAGTTTATTGGAGAATGATGTGAGTCGTCAATTCCTGGCGAGAAGAATGTTTTAACTGTTTCGAGAATTATTGATGTTTATCGAATACGGGTATTTTATAAAGTGGTAATACATACAATACAAGGAAAAGTTTAATTACGCGTGGCGGCAGGTTTTTGATCGTTCGACTGTTGACTAATTTTAAACTATATTTCATATAAATATTTTGTTCACGGGAAAAAAACATGTCCGCGCGTGCTTACATAAATCGGGGTCTGCAAATATGTAAGAATTTTTTTTTTTGGAGATTCTGGGGGGGGGGGGTCCAGTACCCCTGGACCCCCCCTCCATAAATACGCCACTGCTTTTCAGTAAATAATAATATTATCATTTTAGACTACGATCTACTTATAACTTATAATTTACTTTTGAATATGAACTTTTTTTTATTTTTTGTAAATGACATTAATTCTTTATAACTTTAATATTGGTGATTATTATCAAATACTTTTGCAATCAAAAATAAATTAAATTTTTGCCAAACATTTAAGTTAAATATTTAAAATATAATTGTAAACAAACTTACAACGTTATTGTTAATGAAATAATATTTATTAATAAACTAATTCTAATAATTAAATAAAAAATATTTATTTGAGTTTGATACATACCAAGAAGTCTTAATAGATATATGGGACTATACAAATAACACCAAATTTTTTTGGGTACTATGTGTTCTTTTAAAACATAAATCTTGTTCGGTTGATCAATTAATCTATCCCGAAAATAAGTGATTGCCTGAAATAGATAATATTATATAATATTTAACTATTATGAAAAATTGTTAATTTAGTACTTAAATTAAATTAAATATTCACATAATTTTAGATCAAAAATCACGTTTTTAATTGAAATGAGACTAATTATTATATTCTTTAAAAAACAAAATATGAGAAATCTTAAATTACATTTTCAAATTTTCCCTAAAAATGTTAGAATATCTCTAAATAACATAAAAAATATTTTAAAAATTATAAGCCTAGTAACTACTTATAAGAATATGTGCCATAAGTTTCAAATCTCTAGGATTATTTATTTTTAAATTGCATCAAAACAATAAAAAGTGGGTTAGTATAAAATTCCCATTTTCCTTAAATAGTTATTTTTATTTTTTTGTTTTTGGTGATTATTTTAGAATTTACAAAGAATTTCAATTTCTACCTCTTTCAATGTATCAACTAGGTCCAATAGCTGTCAGAAATTACTCTCTAAGTTGAAGATGTATTTTTTTCTATTATAATATGTATATGTTACCGGAAATATTGACAATTTAGGAAATGATGACAATTCCTAATAGTGGAAGGAATTGATATCATTGTCTAAGAATTGTCATAATTTCCGTGGTTTATTTGGCAATGTTATCACGTATCGCTTTCTTACATGAAAGTATCGTCGATTATTATGTTGCAGGTCATGTGGGACCGACTTTACAATATAAGTATTGGAATGATAACTAACTCGCTTATTCGTATTTTAAAAATATCAGTTGGAGAAATGATTGATATCGATAAAACGGTTAAATAGAAAATTTCTATCGCAATCTTTATGTGTTTTATTAAGTGTCCCTAACCTGGCTAACCTGTATATGCAACACAATACGTTTATACTTTGTTTCAAATAAGATGACTTTGTGCAAACGACCGAATCACGTTCGGTATGCATAGGTGTATATTGCTTGCCAGTCTTGCCACCGCTCGCGAATCGCGATACCAAGGTCCAAGACTATATAGTCGTCGTGTCGTGCTGCCTAACTGTAGTGTTTACGCGCGGCCCGTTAGCCGTTAGCCACGCCCATCATTCACAAACGCAGGGCATCTCATTAGGAACAAAGTATAGTAGTGTGTTTTTAGTACAGTACTACAGTACGTATTTGTTATTTACATATTTAATGCATTTATTAAAAATGGATTTAAATAAAATGCAAAATAAATTTAATCAAACTATTTTATTAATAATTGCTAATAACTAATAAACATGATGACAACAAATTGTTCATGAATAATGAGGAATAAGATAGCTGCATGGAAGATGTAAAACAAAATGCAAGAGACATTGTAAAAATATTTGTAAGTATGATGTTATTTTAATAAATAATAAAGTACACTTAAATAAATCCATGAACCATGATAATGACGTTATTAAATTTGTATATGATAAAAGAAATATTTAAAAAAGACTAATTAAATCAAAATATCTAAAAAAATATTGTATGATGTGTATGGAAAAATATGGCATTATTGACTGATATCGTTAGGGAATTATAACGTATACTAGGCAATGTTAACATTTCTTTTCTCTATTCAGAATTGCCATCCTGTTCTAAATTTCAACATTTCTGGTAACATACACTAACACTCTAGTATTGAAAATCATTGTAAGATCAATAAATTTATTGCTTTACCTATAAGTTAGTTTTCAAAAAAATATTTTAGTATTTAAAATATTTAAAAATTGAAATCATTAAATAATGAGCTTGTAGGAACAAAAATATCTTTTGTTATGTAAGATTGATTTTTTTGTTATTACCTTAAATTGAATATAGTTCTTTATTTCGGTATGGTATGCAATATCTGAGTGCACAATTGAGTTAAAATATTCCAATAATCTTATACATAACTTCATTGAAGTTTTCCTAAAACAAATATCGTAAAAAATATTAAATAATAACAAATTTAAATAGTTATACAATAATTACTTTTGGCTATCATCTGCAAAGTTATATGATTCAGTAAAAGTATATGCAACATTTGCTACATATTGATTATCTTCAAACTTAGGCATCTAAAACCAAGTAATCAATTTTATAAAGGTAATAATCATAAAGTATAATATAAAATTACCTTTAGGTGATGATAGTTCATAATCCAATCATTCTTAACTAAGTCCTTTAATTTTTTTGGTAATATCATACCAAAACGTAATTTGTTACTAAGACGCTAAAAAATATTATATTAAAAAATAATTAATATTCAAATTCTTGATTTTTTATCCTATTTATAATACCTTTGAAAATGGAATGATGCTTAAATAAATTTCAGAAACAGCACAAATAGCAGCATAGTCTTTTTCAGTTTGTTCTTTAATATTTTCTGTAGCATTAACAGATATGTTGCTGGTATTATTAACATCTACGGGATGGCTTGGTCCAGAAATTAAACTTTGCTCTTCAACTTGTTCAATATTTTCTGTAGCATTAACAGATATGTTGCTGGTATTATTAACATTTACGGGATGGCTTGGTCCAGAAATTAAACTTTGTTCTTCAACTTGTTCTTTAATATTTTCTGTAGCATTAACAGATATGTTGCTGGTATTATCTTGCGACTCTTTAGTTAAATTTTCAATACAAGTTTTAAGACGTTTTTGAACTGGTTCATATTCAGGTTGAAACTTGTTACAATTATCAATATCTATGGACTGGCTTGGTTTAGTTTCACTAATATTTTCTATTATTTCATTTGTAAGTTTTTCAGTTTTGTTTGTATGTGATATTATATTTTCGGTTGTTTTAATATTGCTTTCCATAGTACTAGTACTAGGAATACTTTCATTATTGGTAGATTTGATTTTGTCCTCGACTTCTTTATCAATAGTGTTATTTTTAGGTTTACTTGCTTCTTTCTTAGATTTGCCTGGTTTAACAAAACATTACAATGACAAAAAAAAAAAAAAAATCAATTAAAAATAATATATTACCTTTTTTTTGTGATGAAGTTTTGACGACTAAGGTAGTAGGTTTTTTCTTATTCTTTACAGAACGTGGACATGGAATATTTTTCTTAGTCACCACTTTTCTTGGTCGACCTAATTTTAACAAAATATTACAATAATAAGTATGAAATACAAAATAAATATGCAATGAAGAATAAATTACCTCTTTTTTTTATTGAAGAAGATATATTAATATTTTTTTTAGGTTTTGCAATTTTATTTTTATTTTTGGTGTCCTTGAGTTTTTGTTTTGCATCACTGTAATTGTAATAAATATTTTTTTATAAATAAATAGTACAAATAATAGGGAATATTAATTAAACAATTTCCTACAAATTCTCCTGTAGTCTTTCTCGGTGACGACAATTAATGGGATTAATTTCCAGTGCTTCATTTTCATCTATCCATTCGTCCCAAGATGACTTCCATCCTCTGTAATGAATAAAGTATTGATTCTCTCCATAGTCTGTCTTGCGTCGTTTCATACATTTAGCTTCATACAGTAAATTATCAAAGTATACATAGACATATTGACCTAATTAAAAACATATGTAAATAATAATTATAAAACATTTTAAATAGGATTTTAGTTTACTTATGTTAAGAGAAACAAAATTTTCGATAGGGATCAAAATCATATGCAATAAGATATATGACAAAATATTCTTGAATTCATAATCATATATAAATATTTTAAAGTATTAATGTGGTATAAAATTAATATTAAACAACTTACATAAATGATTTTTATTTATTGATCATTGCATAATAAATTATAAACGAAAAAAAGTATATTTAATATAATAGTAAATTTAAGTTATTGAATTTATCTATTTTGCTTCAACTATAATCAGAGGAGATAAATTATTGAATAATTTTATACATCAGGTTTCTAGTAGGACCATATCTAATACTTAAATTTCAATGTAATTCCTTGGACCTCTGTACAATTTCAAATACATATTTTATATAAAATTTTATTTAATTCTATACATTTTCAAGTAACAATATTTACAATATTTTCCAAATTATTAGTTTTTGTATTATGATGTTCACTAAACTAAAATAATTTTCTTAAGCAACAAACATCACTTAAAAGTGTTATTATTAAGGGAGGAGCTGCTAAAGAGCAAGTAAAGAAAAAATCATAGACTAGAGCAGTGTTTCTTAACCAATGTGTCACCAAATAAGCTCAAATGTGTCATAAGTACATTAAGTTATCTGTTACCAATATCTTTTACATATTTTAAATTACCCATTAAAATTAAATATAACCCACTATTCTTATTTGTTTATTGCGTGTTGCAAAGTATTAAATATTTTAATAGTGTGTAATCATAACACAAAGGTTCAGAAACATTGGACTAAAGGTTGAAACATATAGATACTAAATATGCATCTGTTCTATATGCAATAAGCACTAGAATAATTTATCTGTTATATATTCCTAATGAGTTGCAAACATCTAATATTATCTTCACAATAATTCTAACCAAAGTGTCACACCAAAAATGATCATCAGTTCTAAAGAATTCACATGATAATATAATATTTTATAAATTTATTATATATATAAATATATTTATCATATAAAAATAAAATATGTGTGAAAGCCATTAGTAATGATGATTAAGATCTGGATTTTTATGCAAAAAACATAGAAGATAATGTTTATACACATTTTTAAGTACAGAAAATTTGTTATGTACATGGCAGTCTCTAAAATACCTAAATTTTTGTACTATGCATAGTCATAAATCGGCCAAATCTGGATATATTGCTCTAAAAACTGGTTTCAATGTGTATAAATTTCTTCAAATAATAACACATAATATCTATCAAATAAAAATATGTATGTAGTATATATTACTTCATAATTGTGAATAAAATTAAATAATTATTAATTTATTTATATATTATTAAAATATTGTATTGTATGTTACATTTTAACCTTTAAGTTAATTTATACAAATAAAATAATGACTTTAAAATAGTGCTGTTATATTTTACAAAAATAAAGAAATTAAAAAAAAATTATTTAATTTAATAATAATACTGACAGCAACATTCATATCAGAGTGGTATGCAGGTCATTTTTCTAAATAAACACAACTACACAAGTACACTACCACTCCATCATTCACCACCGACCAAGCTGATAAATATGAAAATAGCAACTTACAACAATAATGAATAATAGTAACTAATAGTAATAATACAAAATATTGTGTACTGGGTATTTAGATAAAAATCAAAATGTAGTTTGGTAAAAACATAAAAATGAAAATTAACTTAGAGCTGTAAAATTAAACATAATATTATAAAGGACGACTAAGTTAATTTGAATAACACACTTTTAAATTTCATAAAATTTTAGAGGCTGCAGCATAGATTTAAACTTAGAAAAATTTCATAATACTAGCTATAGTTTAAGTTCAGCAAATTCAATGCTTAGTGCATCAGTACTTTAGTTATATTTAACCCGTTATTGCTCGCATGTAAGAATTTCCCTTGCACATTTTTGTTTTTTTTTTTTTAAAACGAAAACCACCAACTTACTCATAGTTGTATTTTCTGAAATTCATAGTACCTTATAAGATTCTAATTTAAAATAGATTTAATGATAAATGGCGCAACTTTAATATTCTGATGAGGAAAAATATTGCATTCTGAAAATAATAAGTCATGTTGCATGAGTGAATCCCTCTATGTGCGAGTACTAGCGTTAGAATTATTTATGTACATTAATATAAACTCTTGTTTTTATTCATTTATTTTTTTTTATTGTTTGGCAGTTTTAAATTTATCTTAAACAACAGTCTACAACATTGCATTTCATGTATTTCATATTACATATGTTTCATTATAATCATTTTTATTATATTTATTAAAATCATTGTATTTTTTTATTGTTATTTTATTAATTATATTATTATATATTTATTTGTCCTAAATTATTACTTATATGATAAAATATACTAGGTAAACGAATTGCTCTACGTGCAAATAATGGTGTTCAGATTATATAAGTGACTCACAACAGGTTAATATTTTAAGTTAACACATATTCCAGAACCTTGATGAGAATTGCACAATTCACTAGTTCAAATACCTCAGAAGTCAGTTTAGTATTTACTTGTTATCAGTGAGACAATACGGTAATAAAATAATTTATGAATACTGTATTAAAGCACATAAATAATAATAGGTACTTATAATTTATTAATATATCTAGATATACCTATAATAAAATAACAAGTTTTTATTGCATCGAATTCATTTGTTACATTGCTATAATATATCAATTTATCAGACAAGTAATTGAACAGAGATAACATTCACAATATATTTGCCAAACCAGGACATGAATTTAGTTGTGCAATTAATGTAATAAAATTAACACTTTACCTTCGGCGAAATTGTAATCTTCTTCCATTATGTCGTCAAATAAGCAAACCACTTATCGACAATTAGAGATTTGGCGGTGTTTAACAATCCGTTTTCTTAAAAAATGGTGGCAGTATATTTATATGTTTTGTTATGTAGAAGGCAATGAAAACTTGACGTATAGATTAATACTAAACAAAATAAATAAGTATTTGATAATGAATACAACAGTAGATGAGCGAATGTTAAAGGCGAAATACTAACAGGTAAAAATGGCCGAATGGATTAGAACGATATCAATAAATGCCGAGTACGACTCGATCTAAAAAACGCAAATGACACCAATAGTCTGCAAGTTAGAATAAACTAGCGATCGTTATTATAATTAATGGGAAGACTATTATAATTAAACGATACAAGATTCCAGATTTTGATCACAGGAAAACTGCAAGGGCAATAAGACAAAAAATCGAAGTTCAGAACGAGTAGTGTGTATTAGTGTGTATTGTATAGTGTACACTGTGTGTCTGTGTAGTGTGTAGTGTACTAGTGTGTACGACTTCTGATTAAAGTGGTGTATAAGATTTACAGACAAAGTTGTGTGTGTGGGATAAGCTCGTCGGTGAATTTAGTATTAGTTGTAGTATGACAGTACGGCGCAGTACCCAAAGACGTTGTAAGCACTGTTTTATGAGCTTTCCTTGATATTTTTATTATAATTATTGATTTAGCGATAAGCGCAGACGCAATGAATGATAACGGTCGGATCGCCGACGAACGACACAACGCGTATATTATAATTTATGTAATTATTTTAGATTTTATTCGATTTTGCAGTGAAAACAAATTTTAAAGGTAGTATGATTATGTAACATATTAATTTCAATGACAAACAGTTTATCGTCGATTGAATTTTAGTACGTTTTCAATGTGGTGATGCTGACTCACTTAAAAGACTACCGAGCAACTAGTGTTAAGCCCCAGCCGACTTTGTTGTTATTCGTAAATACTGAAAGTTGAAACATGCAATGAACTACATATATAACTAGGGATGGCAAAATATCGTTGACCATTGATAATTGATATATCGTAATTTTGATACTTCGTATACCCAATATCGATACCACAATATATCGGTAAAATAGTAGTCGAAAAAAAATTTTAATACTATAATAGACTTGTATATAGCCGAGGCCATAACTTCTTATCGATGTTTACTATAGGATAAATGACAAATTAATTTATTAATCAAAGCATGTATAATTAATAGAATTATAAAATATTTTATATTATAATATTTATAAAACCAGAACAATATGAATAAAATATAATAGTTGCAATTTTTATATGTTTACAGCAGTGGTTTTCAATTGGTGTGTCGCGGTACACTGGTGTGCCAAAGTGCCTTTGAAGTGTGCCGCGATAAATCTATTGATTGAGTTAATTTTGTATATATATATGTATTATATATAAAAACATTTGCTTCACGTATTATATGAATTGGTGTGCCACAAACATTTTGTAGAAGAAGAAGTGTGCTACATTGTTAAAAAGGTTGAAAACCACTATTACAGTATACGTATAGAAAATAATAATAGTAATAATAATAATAATGTTAATAATAAAAATAAGAAATAAGTTCTTAATGTAAAAGTATACAACACATGTATCCCAATGGCTTTTGTCACCTAGGGTAATTTTAAAAATAAAAAAATAATAAAATAATAAAAATAAATGTTAAACTTATTGACTTCTATAGTCAATAAATATATCAATTTTCGTCTATGCCTGGATTCCGTCAATTTATGGGCGTCATAGAACCAAATTATAAAATTATCAAAGAAGAAGCATTAAAAAAAAGATTGCATATTTTAAAATCAACTGTTGAAGAAAAAATTCGAAACAATTTAAAAGATGTCCAAAGTGTTGTGTGCACATCGGATTGTTGGTCTTCATTGGCTTAAAATTCTTACTATAACTATAACGGCACATGCTTTAGATAATGATTGGTCTCTGTTGTCATTTACTTTAACAACCCAAAAAATGGAAGAACCGGCGCATCCGAGTTGGGTCCGAGCACTAAGGGCTAATCGCAGGTAGTGTACTAGTTGGGTCCCGAATTTTTATAGGTACTACACTAGTTCGGTCCTAAATTATTTTAGGTATTACACTAGTTCCTGAATTTTTTTTTCGGTAAGTACTACACTATACTAATATTTTCATTCTCATTTTAACATACTTAGGATAAGTCTGTTAAAAGCTATACTTAAAATATAGCCATATAAGTAAATGAAAAAATATTAAAGATATTATGAAGAATTTTTAATATTTTTACCAACACAAAGATGATTTATATTTTACAAAATTTTAATAATTTATATTTTTAATATTTTTTCACTTATACCTATATGGCTAATTTATATTATATGTATTTTTATACTTGGTTTTTAACATTTTTAATATTTTCAAAAAAACATTTTTAACCACACCTGTGGTCTAAATAGATCATAGACAGTTCTAAGTCTGTTAAAATGGAAAGAAAAATGTTAGTATAGTGCAGTGTACTTATCAAAAAATATTCAAGAACTAGTGTTGTAGGTACCTAAAATAATTAAGGACCTAATAATATAATATAATATATTATATTTAAAGAAGATTCAATTTCCGAAATAATTAAACTAAGCAGCAGTTTAGTAGGACACTTTAAACATTCAAATTTGGCAAAAAAATCTTTATTAAATAAACAGGCACAAAGCTATTAATCCCAAATTCCCAAATAATTTATAATTGTATTTGTTACTATAAAAAAAAATTTTATATGATAATAATATCTAAAAATTTCCCGACGATTAATCGTATTAAAAAATCGTAAGACTCGATAATATCGAGACTAAATATCGGTATGCTTGGCTTGTATCGATATAAAATTTCTTGATATATCGACTACATATATCGATATATCGTTGCCATCCCTATTATAACTATAGCTTAGATTTTTATGCACTTAAAATGGATTGAATTTGTTTGTAATAAAAAATTGACAAATGTGTACAAAATAAATCTAAGTAAAATCTTATATTTTAAAACGCTAGGTAGTTGCGTTTAATATAATCAGGATGCTATTACTTTTAAATATAAAATTATAGAATGCGTAAGTATTTAAATTGTAGGTATTATACATATCTATATGTAAAATAATAGTATTATTAATTGATTCTGTAAAAAATTTACTTAATTTGTATCCTTTTTTATTCTAGGTTAGCATTACAGAAGAATAGAAAAAAATGTAAATTTCATAAAAAATTGAGTCCTGGTGGTAGTATAGTTTAGCAATATAGATTTTATCAAATTTGTGACATCATATTAAATCTATCTGATATAAATGCTTTTATTTTAGATTATTACTTCAGTTATCAAATTTTAACTTTGATGATAAAATTATTTGTTTGGACAAAAAATAAATAATTTTTTTAATTATCTTTCAATTATTTATGTTATTTTTATTTTTATCTTCATTCTTGATCTATGATGATTTACACTTAACAACCAAAGTGGTATATTATTCATTATTAAATATTAGTTATACATATTAATGTAAATGTACTTGGTATGGCTTTAATTGTCTAGAAATTTGAACCTTATGTTTTTATTACTAAGATTTAGTATACTTATAATATTTAAAGTATTTTGAATATTAAATAAGTATATAAAGGTAAAAAAAAAGTCTACTTATATTTTGAATTTTTATAAATTATGTAATATACTAATATGATATAATATAATTAAGGCAGACATGCATTTTTAAGTTATACTTAAGACTTTTTAAATGTTGTGACTACTTAAATACATTTGTAATAATTTATAAATTAATAAATCGTGAAATCAAAATTAATTGTTTAAGATTTTATAAATATGAGCAGGCAGAGGCATAATCAGTATTTTATTAAGGGAAGTGTCCAAACATGACACATTTTGCAATAGAAATAAATATATTTTAAAATAATGTATCTAATGATTATTTCATAAAACACTCGAACAAGATAAGTTATATTCCATAATTATTACAAAAAAAAAAAAAAAAAAAAAATGCTGTTATAGTTAAAATAAATAAAAGTAATATTAAGTATTTTGTATATTCATTCTGTCATTCAAAATTTAAAATTGATTGAAAATTCTTTGTTTTTATTACATTATACATTTTTTTTTTTTTTACTGTAAAATATTTATAGTCTGAATTCCAATTATTGTTTTTCTAAGTCATGTCTATTACTTTATCAACTGTAACTGAAAAATTTCTACGTATATGAAGGTTAACTTATCACTTAAATTAATTTTCTGAATTTGCATTCCTAAGATATCTAAATATTATAATCTGTTTCAGTGATGAAAATATATTTCAATTTTACAAAATGTAAATGGAAGTACAAATAAAATCAGTAGTAATCAGGAAATAGAATGAGAAATGAGATATTTATAATCAGATAAAAATTTAAAAGATTCAGATCATTCTTATTTAAATAAGTCCAATATTTTTTTTTTCATATTTTTATATATTTGGTAAATATTTAGTAATTTTTGATTTATTGTGACTTTTTTGTTGATTTGAAAATTAATTAAACTTACATTGTTGTACATTTTTATTTTTTTGTTCATATGATAAAATAACTAAAAACTTAAAATATGCCCTTTTTAGAAATTGTATGTATTGTTGAAAAACACAAGGTCACATAGGAAATTTAGTTGAAGAAAAATTTGCATATGTATTTGAAAAAAATCATGGACTTAAAACATAATATAGGTAATTAAAGATATAGATACATCTAGAATGAAATTATAAAAAGTTATTGGACAATGATGATGTAACTAGTATGAAAATGCCCCTATTATATTAGTTTATATTAAATGTTCGTTTAGTTAGTAAAAATACTTATTATTATGACTAAATTATCACTACTTAAAATTTTTAAATTTCAGGGAATATGTAGTTTCAAAAATTAGATAAACAATAACTATATACTTTTATGCCAACCTATGTGGTTATTTCTTTTCCTTGTATTTTCTTTTTTGTTTTTTTATTACTTTAAAATCTGTTCCTTAGCAATAATAAATAAATTGTTGAAATTTAGAAAAAATGTTGACTATATTTATCTAATGTGCCCAATGCATGTAGGTTTTAATATAATTTTCATTCAAATAATATTGTTATGAATTAACTTCTGTCCTCTGTAACTTTCAACATTTTTGAAATAATAAAGTTGTGGAGGTTCACTTGTGCAGAAGAATATCTGATCAAGAACAGGTTGATCAATATATAAACACCAACTATTATTTGTTTGTTATTATTGAAACATTCACTTAATTGCTGAACAATGGAATCAACAAATGAAACAAAATATTTATTCTGCAATAGTTTTTTGTTTATTTGGAATGTTACACCGATATTTTTTAACAGAAATTCTAGGAATTTTTATTTAAACATCTAATTGAATACATTTTATGTGGTCCATAATGTTGTTTTACAAATTATAAATAATTTTATACATTAT